TAGTTTTACCTCAAGAGGAAAGGGATACAAATAATTAAATTTTTAGAGTTTGTGTTATCACTTTTATAGTAAATTCTAGAAATTATTTATACATAATGTCCTGTTAAATTTCCACCTTCGCACTTGAAATGAATTAATTTAATTAAATTTTTTTTCGACATTAAATTTTGCAGGAAATTTTCGTACTAAAATTTTTCTCTCGTAAGGAGAGCATGATGTTTAAATATAAGTTTACGTTGGGTGTTACTACAGTTTGCATTTGTGTCGGTTTCCTCTGTTTTTCCAATGGAACTAACTAAACTCTTCTTATTTTTCTTTTGCTTTGCTTTTGCTTTTTTTGGTGGGTGAGCTGAAGTACTTTTTTTTTAAGATAAAGAAATAGGAGCAAAAAAAAAGAGTTTTGAAACAAAATTTGTTCATCTTTCCAGAACCAAACAGGATTGTCACAAAATACAACATTAAGCCGGAATATATCAAGTCTTTCTTAAGGTCAAATCAAAAAAAAAAAGAAAAATAATGATTTTACTCATATTTAACTTTTTTTAACTAGGAATTTTGTGTTTAAATATACATTAGGTGTCATTAACAAGCGATTAGAAAACATGCTGCTATACTGTTAAACTTTATGAACGAGATTTTTTGTCCAGATATATGTAGATTTCGTTTTCTTTTTTTTTATATTTGAAAACGAATGAGGTTTGGCGTATTTCTGTTGGGCCACAACCAAGGAAAACTTTTGCAATAAGATGCCTATGGGACAATTTAAAGCTGATAATGAAATTATGATTTGAAACAAATGAAAATGTAACTACCCCATTATTTTCTACATAAAATGCGATATTTCCTAATTTCTTAATAGGTTCGATGCTCTTGTCTTAAAACTATAACACTTACATTTTGCATTGCGATATGCACAAATTTTTAAAACAATAAAAAAAACAATTACCATAACCTAGAAGGTCCATAAATTAAATATCTGTGAAGTTGGTGACTATGTTAATAATAACTAAACAAGTTTACCAAAATAAAAAAAGAGAAAATCAATTGCCCAAGTGACATTTTAACTGTGAAGGTAGAGACCAAAAGTTTTATTCAATTCTTAACATCTATCAACTTTTCCTAGTAAACAGTGAATACTAACCCAAAGTTCGGACATATAAAAATATTCATAGATATACGTGAATTAGCTTCAAATGTTCGGTTTAAACCATTACCCGCTCTCGATTTGCGCCGTCGAGTTTGAAAACAGCCATTTATAACGTTCCATAATTCAATTTCGCTAAGTTTTTTTCCAATGCAGGACCTCCGTAAAGATAATTTCGGCAGTAAATTACGCCACTGGATAGGAAAACAAACCGCGCGGCGGGAAAAAACAATATAAAACGCGCAATTTTCGAATAAGCGCGGAAACTTGGGTCGTTTTCCGGACTGCAACTCTTTGCGAGACTGCAATCAATTTCGTTCTCCGTACTTTTCAAACCGTTTCCTTATTTGCGCTCTCTTCCCCGGTCGTAAATCTCGTCGAATTCATCGCAACAAACTCAACTTCTAAACTTCATGCGTTTAAAGCGAATGTATTATTTTTAACACGAAATGAAGGGCAGGAACTATAACACCTGTTTCGCACCGAATTCGCCAACTTCAACCACTTTATATACATATTTAAAAAATATATAATAAAACAGTCATGGACCAACGGCTTTGATTCGATCTATTTGATCGTTTTATTCGGCAACGCCATCTAGCTTTCAACGGAAACAGTTTAAAAGCGAAGTTTAGTAAAAACTCAAAAGATGTCGCAGTACATACACGGAATGGAAAAGAAGTATTTTTAATTCCCAACATACGCATTTTAGGTCTACGATAGAAATAACTGGAGCTGCTCAGAGATTTCGTTTAACGTTTGGTGGGTTGGTTAGTTTGACCATAATTGAAAGTTACTGGGAAGTATTCGGTTAGTTTCGGTTGAGCTGAGAGGAGAGAGTATAAACAACAGAAGCCAACCAAAAACTTATAGGTATATAGAGCCGGCAACACTGGATTTGGGTCAAACATTTAACGCCTTCTCATTAAATATTTATTTTAGCATACGGCGTCCAAATAGTGTGTCATTTATTATTTCTTTAAAAAAAAAGTTAAATGCAAAAGTTATATGTAGATATTATAAATATGTGAAGAACCAAACGTATATATTTTTAATGGAACACCCTGTATATTATTGCATTAGTAGATTTACATAAATTTACATTAAATTTTTTCCGACAAAACACCGAAAATTTGTCAAATTATGAGAAAATATCGCAATAAGCCCAGAAAAATAAAATAAACAATTTTTTCATTTTGTGAAAAAAAAATCCTTTCTTTACATTAATTTTCAAATTCTGCCTTTCTTAAAGCCCAAAATATTGTTGAACTAGTGTAAATGCAAAGTGCAAATGTAAGTTGGCCATGCGAAAAGTAGGTTAGCCAGACAAATGATATTTCGACCAATAAACAAAGTGAAACTTAATTAAATAGTTCTTTTTTGTTGTACACTTTTGTTCTTAGTTTTTAAGTGTTTTTTCTGGAACTATTAGCAGTATTTACATTGAATTTTTAATATTATTCCTAACGTGAAATACAGTTTCAATTGTTTTTCCAAAGTTGCTTCGAATTTCAGTCTTGGCCTGTCGGCGCCTAGCTCAGATTAGGTTCTCCATCGTAGCGTAGTTTCAAAACCTGCTGACTGCAAACAACCTTTGTTTTGTTTAAAAATCTCCTTTCAATGATTAACACCTAACCTGATCGGGAAAAATTTTGTCAACTGTCCTAATTAAGTGCATAAAATCTCAAAAAAGTGATGCCCGTATATTATAAATGCATTTTATTTGGCACATCGTCAGAAATATTCAGGTAATATTAATTTTTTTCCTAGTCTTTTGTGATCTTTTCTCATGGTTTGAAAGTAAAAATATGTTTGCCTCAAAAAAGACTAAGTTTAGGTATAGGAAGTCGTCAATAAAATTGAAAGAGCATTAATAGGAGTTGTTAATATACAGTATAAAATACAGGGTGTTCCACTTCCACGAAAATTTATATTTTCTTTTTGACTCACCCTCTATAAACAATTCGTATTAACTTCAAGACACGTTAATAAAAAATAAATAAATAAATGATTCTACCAAATTCTTGATAAATAAAAATTACAGCTGTCTGATCATTTTTGACTAAAAAATGGCTATAAATCTGAAAGCACTCAGACAACGACAACCCTGTATTAAGTGAACGAGTATAAAATGGAGTATCTTTTAATGCCACAATAGACAGGGTGTATATAAAATGTATATGTATGCATGTAACAGGTGATTCAATAAGAGTTTCCACATTACAATCTGAAATATTTTTGAAACGCCACTGTATTTGTTTATTATCATATGAGATTTCTAACCTCAAAACATAAACAAAATTAGTCATGGAGCAATATACGACTGAACAACGTGTAAAAATTGTGCAAGCCTATTATGAAAATAGTCGATCAAAAAAAAATGCATTTGGGGCTCTACGTGAAGTTTTCGGCGCGCAAAATCGACCTTCCGAGAGGACAATTTGGAATGTGGTTCAAAAATTTAAGCAAACTGGATCTGTAACTAACCTCAAAGTCCCTCAACGTGCTCGTGCAAGTCGGTCAGATCAAAATATTGCCATTGTTCGCCGAAGATCCAAACACATCGATTCGTCATCGATGGCAGCAAGTGGGCCTTACGTATTCAACCACACAGCGAATTTTAACAAAAGACTTGCATCTACACCCATATAAAGTCCAAATAACTCAGGAGTTGAAACCTCGAGATCATCAACAGCGCCGCGTGTTTGCAGAATGGATGGATTCAACGAAAATCATCTTTAGCGATGAGGCACATTTTCACGTTGGTGGCTTTGTAAACAAACACAATGCTCGTATTTGGGGATTAGAAAATCCAAAAAAAGCAATACGTCCTCAAAAACTCACTGTTTGGTGCGGAGGAATAATTGGCCCTTTTTTTTTCGAGGATAATGCGGAGAACGCTGTTACGGTTAATGGTGTTCGCTATCGAAACATGATATCTGAATTTGCATCCTCAAAAACAGACTGTTTGGTGCGGAGGAATAATTGGCCCTTTTTTTTCGAGGATAATGCGGAGAACGCTGTTACGGTTAATGGTGTTCGCTATCGAAACATGATATCTAATTTTGCATCCTCAAAAACTGACTGCTTGGTGCGGAGGAATAATTGGCTCTTTTTTTTTTCGAGGCTGATGCGGAGAACGCTGCTACGGTTAATGGTGTTCGCTATCGAAACATGATATCTGATTTTGCATCCTCAAAAACTGACTGTTTGGTGCGGAGGATTAATTGGCTCTTTTTTTTTTCGAGGATAATGCGGAGAACGCTGCTACGGTTAATGGTGTTCGCTATCGAAACATGATATCTGATTTTTTCTGGGAGCAGTTGGAAGGTATGGACATTGAAGATTTGTGGTTCCAACAGGATGGAGCCACTTGTTACACATCCAGAGAAACGATGCAATTGCTGCGGGGCGAGTTTCCTGGTCGGATTATTTCACGTGAAGTGATAGGAAACTTCAATAAGCGACATCATCTTTCATACCTAATTGTAATACACTAATCTAAAATGGCAAATAAAAATGTTTGTATATTTTTATATTCTTCCGAGTTTTTTTTATTATTTTAAAGTGGAAATCCTTATTGAATCACCCTTTATATGTGTGTATAAAATATATTAATGTTTGATTTCTCTGTATATTTGAAAATAATTTCAAATTATTTTTTTAGTCGTAATATGTTGAACGACCGCAATTTTCATATTTTGGATAGGACAAGCGTAAATAAGCTAATCATTTTGCATTTGGTAAAATATCCTCGCGGAATGAATTACAGCTTTTTTTAAAACCTTGTAGGAATTTATACCAAATATTATTTTCAAACAATTAGCAAAGGGGGAAATAAATGAAGCAAGCGATATTTATATCGAATAATAGTTATATACTTTTTATCACAGTAAAAATATACACAAATTTACACAAAATCGACACGAACTGCCGATATTATAATCAGTTTCCTACACTGATATGAGACAGGCAATTGCTAGCTCAGCCGGTCCGCGGCTAACAACGATATACACTATACAAAAGTTTACTATAACAAAAACATAATTACAGTATAATCGAAAAGCGCTTTGTATCGGTGTTTTCCCGCGCGAGGCCGCGCGCGCCATCTACATCCAAAATCTTAAAACAAAGATCTGTAAAAAATTACAATGTACCGCGGCCTCCAGCGGATTTGTTCCGAGCGGCGTTTAACCAACCAACATACCATGCAATCGGGGCCGCTTTAAATCGTTTTTGACGAATTTCCTAATTTCTCTAAGGCACTTTTGTGAGTCCTTTTGAAATTATCAGAAAATACATTTATTCTGGTAAACAAGCAAGGAAGTCAAATGTTCGTATGTCTGTGGCTACGTTGGCTTTATCGCATGGTATTTTGGATGGGATTAGTACCGCTCCTCCTAAATTATCTACCCTATTTAACCTCGCGTGATAAACGGAACGGAAAATTCGTATCCTGTTCACGCGTCATCAAAGAAACGGGAAATGGTTTTGATCTTAAAGGATTACATACAATTGTTATTTTATATTAAACTATTGTTTTGCTAATTTCGAATAACTAAGAGAAAAAAGGGTATTTTTTCAAGCCAAGGTTGATTAAAATTAACTGAAAATAGTCGCCTTTTTCCACACAAAAATGCGCAGACGTATAACTGGGTGCATACTCTCGTACCGTGTTGTCTCCGGTAGAAAATGGTAATAGCTTTGTTTGTATTGTTATTGGCACTGTCGCTTGGCAACGTCCCCTCGCATCATTGCGCAATCGCAATGGCGAGCATAAATTCTACTGTTGTGGGAAAAAACATGTTTAGCACAGGAAAGCAAAGTTGTACTTTGTTCGCTTGTGCTCAAAATAGCGATTTTTGTAAGAAGTTTTAGTTGGTCAATGATCTGCGAATGCGACTAACAAAGTTTTGCCTCAGCATTGATATACACATATTTCCGTGAAGAGTAGGTAGATAGATAGGATTTTTAAAAAGGTTTTACTGCCGTTTTGCTGTTCCGATAAAAAAAACACGTCCTATTTAATAAAAAAGCAAAATGTTTTTTGTAGGTTATGTTGTTTATTTGTTTATATGTTTCTGCATGCGTTCACCAACGAAGAGAGGGCAGCAGCTAGAATCTGGTGCGCCGGTTCTGAAACTGACTCGGTAAAACAAAATAAACACGAAAAAAAATAAAGAGCAATCTGTAGTTTGAAAAATTCTGTGCCTGCGTCGCCATTAGAGTAACTTATACTTGTCCTGGCGTACGAAGTACGAAAGACAGCATTCTCTCTGAAATTGGGGTGTAACTATAACACCTATAACAACCTTAAACAAATAGGTGGCGAACCACTGCTCTACATTTGACGGAAATAGACTATACTGGGCAAACTTTATCGGTCGAAGAGAAACCATTTTGTATGAGAAAAAGTTCAAAATGCAGACATAGTTTTTTTTTTATTTTAATCTAAGCGTTTTTTGGTGCAAAATAATTTTTCAAATTTTTAAGGGCGTTTCCACTAAGAAGTTTCGACTGATTTTTTTTTTCATTTCTACCTCCTCCTCTATCTATCCCTTTCTCTTTCTATCTCTCACTCTTTCTCTTTATGGATTTCTTTAGCCTCTCTCTAAAAGCGAAGTAATGGACTTTTTTCTTAAACAATGGTTTCCCATCAACAGTTTTTTAGTTACCTTCCACAAATGCAAAATTCGAAATAAAACGTTTGGCTAGACATAAGATTGTATCACCCTTGGCGCTTTGCAGCCCCGAATAGGTTTACCAGACCTCGCACTTTTTCCGGGGGTTCATCTTCGATCCGGGTTTGCAGCCGAAAGCATCGCTGAACTCTCTGAGATTGCTGACCGCTCCGATGACTCGAAACTTTGGCGGAGAATGACTGTCCCGTTCGATTTCCAAATTGGTCACCTCCTTGGTGATCGTCGAGCACCAAACTTGCGCGAACGCGACGAAAAACAGCTGCCGGTGACTGAGTGGTAATCCGGGCAGCCTCTGAGGTTCCGGTTTGTCCCTCATTAGGTCCAGGTAAGCATGGTACGCGGCTTTGAGGCCGCCGTTGTCGGCGATGTTCTCCCCCAGGGTGCGGTTACCGTTGATGTTTTTGCCGTCGATGCTGTACTGACCTAGTGCGAGTGAATTTTATCAAAGAAAATAACCAAAACTATTTCTTGAAGGAAAGGGGTCAAAATTATCAATTAGATAAGTTTTTGCTCCTCAAAATCGGTACTTCTCCAAAATAATAGGGCAAGAAGTATAAACAAAGAAACGGAAGTCAGCGAAAATTACAAAAAAGCAAATAGTTTGGAGCACGTTAAAGAAAACTATTAATGAAGCAAAAAACTTTTTTTTTTAATAAAAGGGAGAAAAAATCCATCAAACTGACAAAGATAACAGAATATTAACAAATAACAAAGAAATTTATGTTGCTTCTACCAACAGTAAGTCCACAGAATCAATTTAAAATAATAACACGTTCGTTGATGTTTTCATGGAAAACCAATGAAAACAAAGTCATTCTCGGACTTTGGTAGAATTGCCGCCGAAATCTTTTGCATTTCTACATAAAAAAAATAATGGGCGGAAGTAGACTTATCTCGAAACTAACGAAAATATTTCAAAATTTTTTAAAGGCTTGCTGAATATCTAAATGAGAATGACATCATGTCAAAAAAATAATCTGAGTACTTTCGATCCAGATCGGATGTCGTGTTCCCATATTTTTTCTTTCTTTTTATAGGTTTTTATTAGGAAATTGTGAAAAGTGTAACCAACTATGACATTTAAATCTGAACATCTGGACATTAGAAATTTAGTCTAGATGAAGCGAATTAGCCGTTTAGCCATTAGAAAATATTTCACATATTGTAACAAGGTCATTTTTTTAATAGCATTTCTGAACTATATATATATATATATATATATATATATATATATATATATATATATATATATATATATATATATATATATATATATATATATATATATATATATATATATATATATATATATATATATATATACCCAGCGTTGGCGTATCTTTTACAATGAAATTCTAATATCGTTCACAAGAATAATCCCAAAAAAATTCTTTACCTCACTTTAATGAGGTCGAGATTTGTTTGTTTGGGATGTAACCAGGGAGTTATGGAAATTACATCATACAATTTACCGAATGTATCTCAGAGACAGATAAATGGCAAAAACACTCATTACAACAATTGCTGTCCGGAAGAAAATGCTTCAAAAATTTCGTGTATAATGCTTCTCAAATGTCAAAATGTGTCGGGTTCGGGTCTTATTACTTCGTATGCTAACATAACAAACGATTCTCGATTAATTTTTAGTGTAAACCGAGGTGCAAAGTTTGCTGTTATTATAAATTCAAATTCAAAAAATAGTCTAATCCAGTACTAATAAATAAATTTAAACACCAATAGTTCGCCATGGGTTGAATACTGAGGAAAACTGTGATGGGAAGATTCTAACAAGAATTGAAATATTCTATCCATGGTCTACGGGTGTGCCCCATATTGCAGAAACTGAACGATGCTAATAAATGTTTTCTACATAATCTATTTAAAATGCATTTTTTTAAAATTTCGTATACTTTTTGTTCTTTATACATTTTTATTTTTATTAATCCTCATTTAGAAAATTATAAAAATGGACCTGAAAAAAATGTGCAAGATCCTTTGCCCTATTTGTTTATTTACACTTATTTGTTATCATAATTGTCTTTCTGTAAAACATTTCGATTAACTGAATAGCTGTACAGAAGAGTAATTTACAGTTTTTTGAAAAACAATTTTTAGGAACTGTTAACTAACCAAAATACCATACTGTAAACGTACCTGCTCTATTGACTGTTAACATTTGTTGCTTATTCAAAACGTTTCTTAAATATTTAGATTTGTAATGTCTCAGGTTGTTTACTACTGTTTGTAAGAGTTTATTAAAATTTAATTGTCTATCCATTATTATTCTGGAGTATTTTATTTGATCTGTAGACTTTATCTAACTGTGTTCATTGCCCGTTTATTGGACGAAAACGGCATAAAAACCTTCTTTTTTTTTCCATTCACAGTAAGTAACATGTGTTTAAACCAGCTCGTGTTTACTAAAGTCACTTTCCATTTCCATCTTCGTATAAAGATGACCCCTGACGTGGTACAAATTATTTATGTAAGGAATGAATAATATTGTTCCTAAAACGGATCCTTGGGGGAGCCCATAGGAAATGTTTCTTTTTAAACTATAACAAGTATTAATTTTTGTGTTCTGTGTTCTTTCCGTAAGACAAATAGTTTCCAAGGTATTCCGTGTACGCTAGAATCCTCCAATACCTCAAAAATCAGTTTATCAACTAGAGAAACATTCTTTTTTTATTGTTTAACAGTGAGTTGTAAATTTATGACGTCAAATGGGCTATTTCTTCTTTAAATAGCGGTTTTATAATAGAGATTTTAAATTCTTCAGCCCAGTTTCCTGCTTCAAAAAATTTGTTTATTAGGTAAGTCAATGGTATGAATTTCGACGATATTTGTTTAATTGCGATAATTCAATCCAATCTCGATTACTTGCTATTTATATAAATACAAATGTTGCAATCAAACGTTAGTTTTTATAAGATATAGATATGCTGCATTATTGTGATCTTACGGAAATAAAAAAAAAACTCACTGTATTGGTCGACGACACACTTGGTCCTGTTCTTGAACCTCGCGATCGTCTCGTTCTTCCACCAACGGTTGAGGTTGCCGTTCTTGTCGTACAACCTGCCTTCGTCGTCGAAGCCGTGAGTCAGCTCGTGCCCGATAACCACGCCCATAGCTCCATAATTGAGACTGGGAGGAAACGACCTGTCGTAGAACGGATTCTGGAGGATGCCCGCCGGGAACACCATCTGGTTCTTGGTGGGGGTGTAATAAGCGTTCACGCTCGACGGTACCATACCTGGTGAGGGAGGCGCGTTATCAAATTTCGACCCTTTACCGGCTACTCACTCCACGTGGTTCTGTTAACCGGTTCGTTGATCTTCTCCAGATTCTTCTTCCAGTTGTACGAGTTGATGTTGAGGTTATTGTCGAAGTAACTATCGGCCCTGATGGTCAGGTTCTCGTAATAGTTGTCCAGCTGCGCGGAATCCTTGACGAAGTCCGGGTAGCCGATCATGTCCGAAATAGCATCCGCCTTGTCCACGGCCACTTTCCTCGTCTCCTCGTCCATCCAGTCCAGGTTTTTGAAGTTTCTCTTGAACGCGTTCCTCACGTTGCTAATCATCTCCTCCGCCTGAGCTTTCGAGTCTTGGTGGATGACTTCTTTGACGAATATCGCTCCTATGGCGAACCCTGCGAGAACACCCACAGATACATTTTAATACAGACCAACCAGAAACCTCACCTAGTACGGTATTGGTGTCTTGTATGCAGTACCTCCACTGAGGTTCTTCGCCGCCGTCCGAGCCATACAACGCCACCCTCAACCCCTTATACGCGTCCCTGAACACCTTCGACAAATAGGGAACGAAACTTCTCACCGTTTGCCAAACTAGGTAGTTGTTCAATGTGCTGAAACCGTAGGACATCATCCAGAGAGCACTAACGCGTCAACATTGCCACTCACTTGTTTCCAGCTTCACTACTTTGGTACTCTTTGATCAACAACGTCAAATTTTGCAGGTATTCGGGAGCGTAAACGATAACTGGCTCCTTGGGACCGACTTTGCGATTAACAGTTCGCAGAGCGTTGCCGAAAAACGATCTCCAGTCTATCTGAAAGAAGACGACATCAGCCCGCAGGTCCGAGTCACCGCTTGGTTTTATTTACAAATGGTGCCAGGAGTTGCAACTCTGCAACCGTCATGTTGTGGTAGAACTTCTCTTCATCCCGCCTCAACTCGTCGGGAATGGTGATATTGGCGAGCCTCGTTTCGAAATCGACCACAGCCTCCATTTGTTCTAACGTCTCGTTCAAATCGCCACCCAGTAAAACCCCAACCTGTGATAGAAAAAGACTTTGGTTTTTGCTATTTATTTTATACTGCACATAAATTTTTGACTACGTCTAAAGAAGCTATACCTTGGTCATGTAGTCCTTGTAGGCCTTGAGGATTTTTAAGTGCTCGTCCGTTTTGTTGAGGTAGTTGTCCCTGCTCGGCAGAGCCAATCCGCTTTGATCCACTTGGAGGACGTGTCTCGTGGAGTTTTTGTCGTCCTCGCCTACGTCGTAAGAGAATAAGGCGCCGATGTGGAATTTGTTCTGTACGATTTCCGCCGTTCTCTGCAGCGACCAATTGGTAAGGTTGAACTTGCCTATGGTGTCGTTTTTATCGCTTACTTTGAACCCGTCCCTGGTTATATTCCAACCTGCGAACGGCCGACCTTTAACCAACGACACCCATCGCGATTTTATACCTACCGCCTAACTTATCGATCAACTTTAACATCGGGTCGGCCCCCTTTGCCTCTATAGTCTCGTTGACGTCGACGCACGAATCGTAGTACATCTTGGCCTTCTCTTCCGCCTTGGACTTGAAGGTTTCTACTGGCTGGTCTGCAAACCAAAAACTCCCGACTATCTACCACTTCCTCCCAAACAATCGTCATTACCCAAGACCCGTTTAATAATGAGACCGTTCTGCTGCTCGAGCTTCATGAAGGTGCCCCAGTTACTCTTCCCCCCCGGTACGGGATTAGCCTTCACCCACTTCCTGCAGGAGTACTCGTAAAAATCGTCGCAGGGATCCACGTCCAAGGCCATCGCCTCCATCATGTGACTGGCCGCGTGAACGCACGATTGGTTAAGACACGGCAGGTCCTCTTCCAATCTGGTGTATCTATCCTGTAAGCGGATTTTTTATAGAGGTTGCAAGATATACAGGATGTTACTTTACTGACATCATTAAATTTAATTAGTAAATGTGGATACCACCGTGATGGCAATGTATAATTAGTAGTAAAGAAATAGAATGCGTCATTCAAGAAATAAAATCAAACGATCTTTGGTTACGTTATTTAAAACTACACAATTTAATTAAATCAGTTAAAAATATGTGTAATTAGCTTTAATACTATATATCAGATACCAGTGAAGTATATTTTAGCTATATTTGGCACGCCGTCTACGTTGTAAAGGGCGAATCATTAATAAATAAGTTTAAGACAGATACGACTCTTAAATTACCAACCGTTTAGAACTGATTAAAAAATATTTTGCTTAAAATTTAACAATAGATACAAATATTTCGAAAGTTTTGTTTGGTGTTATAGCAATCGTTATTAATTTATCGATTAATTATATTTTTTATTATATTATTACTATAATTTATGATAATTGATAATTAATTAATGAGAAAAATTAGAACAAAACTTATTAAAGATATAAAGATGATTTTAAGTAATAAATATATTCTTTGTTGTTTTAACAGCTTAGAATTACGATTTTTCTTATTATATAAATATATTTTATTCTTAATTTTATTCAATAGCGGATTTTAGAAAGGCATGCATTTTCTTTTTTACCAATGCTTATCAGTTATCTCAGATGTAAAAGTCATTCTATCACCGCGGTTTAGAATTACATTGTAATAAGTATTTTAATAAAAACCCCTTTTTATACTATGTATTTGTATTTTTTAATACTTGTTCTAGCTATTCTTAATATACAGTTATTCAAGATAAGCGGAAATATCCCCATAAACCATAAGATATGCGAATATGATGGTTCCATAAACACACCAATACTACTTAAGATTTATACTTAATATTCCAAAAATGTTTGTACTCAGTCATCTTCTCTTTGGGTAGTTATTTAAATACATACAAATAAATAAATACACAGTTTAAGTCAATATTTAATATATTTCAGAAAAAACACGTATTAAACAATAGAGAGCTATGATGCTACGTGACTCCGGAAAATCAAATAGATTTATTCTTTATTAAAATATGGGTTACGAAAGCAGTTGAGGAGTGTCAATTTTAAAATTCAATAATTTCTATAGAAATATTGCCATGTATTGAACATGCTTCTTATAATACAAAAATTTTAAACATTTTGTTTGGTACTTTTTCGAGTAGATGTTTATGAGCTACGTAATAAATTATTTTAGCGTATTCTGGTATGCTGCGAAAAAACGCATTGTAGATCATTTTTAGTGTTTTTAGTTTAGCAAATCTGAATGAATTTCTGATTTCAAATCATAGCATTCAATAAGTTCTATTTATTTATTTATTTATTTGATTGACTACGTTTTACAAAGAGTCACAATTTCACAACAAAAATATCACAAAAAACAATCAATCACAATTAAGACAAATCTACCCGGTGGACATTAAAGCATTAAACTATGAAGAGATCTGTATTAGTTTTTACTTTATCTTTAAATTCAACGACAAATCTGCTACGATAATTCTGATTGTTGGATTTTGTTTATATACATGCACGATATTTATGAATATGAAGCAGCTGTTGATACAACTGAAGACATGGCAATGGCAATGGCACGATAGACAATAACCAATAAGCTTTAAATATTTATTTATTTATTCTTAATTTAGGTTCAAACAGCACATGTTTTCAAAAAATCCCCTAATAACAATAAAATGTGAAAGAAAAAAAAGGAAAAATTAAATAAATTAATTGAAGGCATTAAGAAAGATATCCTATGAACATATTTAATAATACTAATACTGTGGGGCCTAAAATTATTTATTTATTTTTTTTAAGTTTTAAGAGAGACTAGTTAAGCCAAAAAAGATTTGTTTTAATTTTCCTATAAAAGACGCTTTAAATTCTGAGTACGGAGCATTCTGTCCTACATTTGTTCTATGATAATAAATAAGTGCCTTGAATTTAGTCTTAGAACTCGTAAATCAATGGCCTGTAAGAGGCAAGGAGGAGGCATAGTCAACTATTTAGTGGATATAGTTCTTTTCTTTTGAACTTATTTGGCAATAGTTGTGATTTTCTACTATTTTTAACCAAGGTACCAAAGGAACTTAAGCTCTCAAGGTGTTTAATATGTACCTCGTACATTGGATTCCAAATTACCGAGGCGAATAACAGTTTGCTATGAGCAAAAAATAGAAATACCAGTGCTTTAGGATTCTTAAAATCTTTGGTATTTCTTTTAATAAAGCCCGCAAGTTTGTTGGATTCGCTAATAACTATGTCAGCTTCTGTTTCTCATTCAAAATAACCCCCAAGTGTCTGATTTCATTGACTTTTTAAAGATTGTTTTATTTAAACTGTAGTCAAAGTCAATGCGACTGTTTGTTTGCATGGGTAATGTCCTTATCAGTGGAGACATAGTTGTGCATCATTCAGAGGTAACAGATCTTCATATATAGGATCACTTTGAACAAATTGTAAATATTGCCATTTCGGTTACTAATAATCAGAATGGTTTATTTATTTTTTAGAACATAATTTCCGAAAGATCATGGACTCTTGTTGATTGTGTGGACCTTGTTGTTGACTATAATAAGTATGTAAGGTGTATAACTGCTATGAACCAGGAGTACTTCAATTGTTTTCCGGAGGGGCAGTACTAGGGTGGATCAAAAAAAACGATATTTTTTGGATCTGACACATAAAAACTAGTTGCAAGTTACCTCTAGAAAGTACGTACCACATATGAGCTCTTAATATTAATGGGAAGATTATGCTCATTATAGTTTTGCATTTTCGATTTAGTCTCATATATAAATACTCACATCTTATCACCAATATATCGTTAAGCCAATTTTATTGATAATTTATCACTGTTTGATGATACTGTTCCATTCGATATAAAAACGAAGGTAGTTGAAGCTGTGATGGTATAAATTCTAGGGTTAAAACGTTTGAGAGCGATCAAAAGATGAGAGTTGAAACGAAAAAGTATTTCAAACCAATAAAAGCTGTAAATGACGCAACAGAGCATGGAGTAGCGTTGGTCTCTGAATATAACCAAAGTTTGACGAATAACGAAGAACAGTACTGTATAAAATTTGATATGGTGCATTTTTTTTTCTGTAATAGATAATAAATAATCTCAAAATTTCTTAATTCAATGAATAAATTGAAAATCTTTATGAAAAACTATGAATATAAATACGCATTGCAAATATCTTCAAAATGGTTCGGGTAATCGATAATCTACAAGAAACCTTTTTTGTAAATCATTAAATTTCCCACAAGAATAATTGAAAACATTTCACTATAATTATTTTTCAGTGAACAACAAAATTCAGAACCAAAAGGTATTTTTCTTTAAATTCTTCAATCTTTGACTTCGAAAATCTTTAAAATGGTTTGATTTATCGAAAAAGGATAAGAGACCATTTTTGTAGATCGTTCAATTACCTTTATTTAATTATCAATAAAGTTGGCTTCAAGTCAAGTTTCAGTCAAGCACTGAAGAGACCGACAGGATGATTGGCGAAACGTCAGCAATTTTGACTCAGAAAAAAACGACCCAGGAGGAATCCAGAAGTTTTGTAAAAAGTATTACAGTAGCCTCTGGAAGTTTCTCTGAAAAATTAACGAGGATATTCTTTTCGTTAATATTAAGAGCTCATACGTGGCAACTAGAGGGAACTAGCAACTAGTTTTTATGTGTCAGATCCATAAAAAAAGTTGTTTTGCTTTACCCACCCTAGGCAGTATACTATGCGTTCAGAAAATGATATAGGGTGGTTTAGTGAAGAGCTACGGACTATGAAGGGACAACTAAGGTTTTGGGGCGATATTAGCAAGCAATATAATAATTATGCGGATAGACAAAACTATTTGTGATATAAAAAAGAATATATAAAAGCAATCAGTAAAGCAACAATTACTGCAAATGATGATCATATTAATTGTTCTAGAACTCCTTTTAAAAGCGTGTGGCAAATTATTAATAAAGCAGTGGTAAAACTAGGAAGTATACTGAATCTAATAATCTCGCATGTAACGATATTAATAAAAATATTCTCACTATTGCTCATAAAGTTGTGCAGTGTATTCCAGATTCGAATGCTGATCCTTTAGAGAGTCTCACAAATTTTATTGTGACAAGTTTTCATTCAAATAGCCGTTATGGCGTAAACGTAAAAACAATTAAATCGATGAAGAATCTGATATTAACTTATTAACTTATGTTCCAGAGCGTACGAAAGATAGCTCGAACCTAGAATATATATCATATATATCAAGTATATATCTCAGTAAATAATGCACTTTTTTGATGAGAACAATATATTTAATGAAAATCAGGTTGGTTTTATAAAAAATAAGAATACTAGTATGGCAATCCTTAATCTTGTTTCTGATATTGTGGATGCTTCTCATGGGACGTGCTACAATGCAGTTCTGTTTTGCGATCTTAGTAAGGCATTTGGCTGTGAGATTCTTTGGCGAACGCTGGAAGCTTATAAATTTGATAAAAGAAGCCTTCGATTTTTAAATTGGTATCTTACGGGAAGGTGCCAGGTTGTGCAGTATGGCGACGTGACATCGGAGGACGGACAGAAAATAACTATTGGAGTACCTCAGGGCACCAATTTAGGTCTTATACTTTTTCTTATAACAATAACAAGCCAAGCTCCAGAAGAGGAACAGGAAAATATATCTGGGGAAAGAGAAAACACCCAACAACAATTAAGACAAAATTGAACAATACACAAGCTGAAAAATAGGAAATCATCAAGGCTGGAATGGAAAGTAAGCATAACGATCCCCATTTTCAAAAAAGGGGAAAAGAAAGAACCAAATAATTATAGTGGGATCAGCCTCCTAAACACGACTTCAAAATTATTAACAAAAATTAATACAGAAGAAGTCTCAAGGGATGGTATGAGCGAAGAACAGCAGGGATTCAGACAAAATAGATCGACCATAGACGCTATATTCATCTTAAGACAGATTGCCGAAAAGGCCATAGGGTACAATAAAACCGCGTATATGTGCTTCATAGATTTAACAAAAGCATTTGATAGAGTGAGATTACATGACGTCATTCAGCTGCTAAAAGAACGAGACGTAAACCGAAGGACAAAAGACAACATTCGGGACATGAACAACGGAAATAGCACGTATTTAAGGATAAACAACGAACTCTCTAGTAAAATACCAGTATCAACAGGGATCAGACAAGGAGATAGCCTCAGTCCAATACTCTTCAACATTATAATGGACGAAATAATAAAAGAACTCAAAACTGCAGGCAGAGGATACAGAATGGGAAAACATGAGTTTAAGATAATTTGTTACACTGATGATGCGGTTGTGATATCCTAAGATGAGGATAATCTGCAAAAACTACTACACAGATTCGAAACAGCTGCAGGAAAATTCAATATGATCATATCGACACAGACGCAATCCTTGACAATAGCGAGAGAACCCGGAAGATGCAAACTGCCAATTTATAATAAAAGTGTGGAGCAGGTTATGTCTTTCAAGTATCTAGGGGTTAACATCACGGGCAATAGGAACCTGAAACAAGAAGTAAAAATGCAAACAATAGTAGCATCTAGGATATCAGGATTCCTTCGAACCGTAATATGAAGGAATAAATACTTAAGTATCGAAAGCAAAACACGGATACATAAAACTTGTGTTAGACCAGTTGTGACATACGCCATAGAAACGGGGCCGGACACTGCAGGTACTAAACAGATTCTTAGAACGATCGAGATGAAGACATTACGCTCAAACGCTGAGAGACAGAATAAGGAGCAATGAAACTAGAAGAATGTGTGACGTTCCGGATATAGTGAGATGGGCCAGAACTAGAAGAAGAGCATGGAGAGATCATGCCAATAGAATGGAAGACGATCGACTGGCGAAAATCGCAAAGGAAGAGATACCCAATACAAGCAGTCCTCCCGGAAGACCACCAAAGCGCTGGTATGAGAGCTGGACCTCGGAGTCACAACTTAGGCTGCTTCCTTGACATAATCTTAAAATAAGAACAAGAAGAAGACTTTTTCTTAGATACATAAGAGCATATGTCCTAAACGTCTTAACTTTTGATAAAGAGGATGGTAAAGTTTTCAAAAAAATATATTTCCTTAATATCTGTAATACCACTTCAGATATTTTAATTAAATCTGGCACACATGTACTGTGTATCAAGAGGCATTATTTAGTGTACCACATTTTTTTATTACATTAAACATTTTTTATTAAATTAAATTTTTATCAAATCTGCTCATAAATGAATGCAAATGCTACTATTCTTTTAAGGAAATCAGTGGCGTGCCACTAACTGTCTATGAACAAATTATGTCGCCACTCCACTGGTTAAACCGTGAACTTTTTTGTGGAAAATGAAGTATTCATATAAAACAAAACATCTAGTTTTTAGTTACCAACTAGTGTCCTTCAGAAAAAAAATATTAGAAGGCTGTTCCCTTTACTCTTACAGTTTTCATAACATCCTAACAACAAGTTAAATAATAAAAGATTGTTAATTAAATTTATTTTATTTATTTAAGTTTACATATTTCGCATTCCCACTTCGATTTTTTGAAGTATTTTAATGAAACAGATAGACAATTTTAAGTATGAAATAATAATGATAACAATTCTCTGCATGCCGAAATATTGACGATATTGTTATTACGGCGCAGAGAAGCGGTTTTAATTTTTGAGTGAAAAAATAATTTTTATTTTAATAGAAATCAGTGGCGTACCGACAATGTCTACCAGAATAGACATGTGAATTTCCGCACACCCGCCACTGATATATTTTTAAAAAAATATGGTATACTAAATAATGCCTCTTGATGTATAGTATACGTGTGCTAAGTTTCATTAAAATATCTAAAGTGGTATTATAGATACTAAAAAAATATATTTTATTTTGGAAGACTACCGCTCTGTATCTCAAAAGTTAAGACGTTTCGGACATATGTTCACACGAAGTTTTCTTTTTAAAATGGACCCAAATCGCGCCATTAATTATTGACATTGAATAATGAAACACCCTGTATATAAATGACCTATCGCTGATGTATACAAGTGTATATTTCACTTTTTTTAGCCGAAAATGGTTTTATTCTAACAAACTATTATTAAACAAACACGAAATGGAAAGAATTATATTTTATTTAAAAGATATTGGTCATATCTGTGGCAATAAGTTCCTTGGAATTCATATGGATTCAAAAGCACAATGGGCGAGCATATTGGGGCTGTAGCGTCGAAGTTAAGCAAGAGTCTGTATCCTTTGCGTCGTCTTGCCAAGTATGTTTCAAATATAGTACTGCGAACAGCGTATGTGCATGTTTCGTATGCCTCTCTGGGCGATACAATTTTTTCATTTTTTACCTATAGAGATTAAAGAGTTCCCATTCTCGGCGTGAAAATGAAACCAATTTTGGGTAACAATGTTTTCTATTCTAATGAGGAATACTTTAGGATACTTTTCTGGGGGTTGACTCCAATTTTGATTGTGTTTTACAGCTTGTTTTAATAAAGACCTACTTGTTATTTTGGTGTGTTACTTAGATGACTAGTTTGATCATACTCTTTTACCTGAAGTATATAAATTGCTGTTTGAAATGAAACATTAATAAATTGATTGATTGGTTGGTTGATTGATTGAATGAACTACCCAGCGTTGCTCCCTCAGTCTTTGCACTCATCTTTTTTTACCAATTGCACCTTGGTAATTTATCATTAATTATTAACATTTTCCAATGTTGAATGATAAGTAATTGACCAGGAACCCTTCATATACTCTATCCAAGTCATTTTAAAATAAGATAGCATCTTGATCGTTTTTATTTAAAATCGTCGGCAAATAATTTACACTCAGAGTTTTGGCAAATAGTTGATTAGTAATAAAGAGAAGAAAAATAAAGAAAAAGCTGACATAATAACATCTTGTATATATCGTGGTTTACTCACTTTGGTCTCTTGCATGTGGTGCTCGATGACGTTGATGACTATAGATAATACTATGACTATCATGAAAAGGAACGCACCCAAAAATATTAGTATTCTTTCTAAGGTGGATCTGACCTGCCACAGTTTGGCTCCGGGATGGTACCTTATATGGGTCGCGCTGGTGCTGATGCCTGAAAAAATCGAATCGAGGTGGAAACCAATTTTTGGAAGCGGCAAACACACGAACCCTCCGTCAACTGGACGCTGTTTACGCTGTCGTCGTCGCCGAAATCTGCATTGGTGTACCGCGTCATCTGCAACAAAACGGTCCGCTTTTCATTTCAGAAGCAGAAGCGCTTTCAAGCAGCAGCTTAATTTTTTATATGCCCCTAGGCACTAACAAGCAATTTCAGTTCCTAAATGTTTTAACAGGTAAATTATTATAAGTCACAATTGAGTATTATCAACATGTATACTACATTCACATTGACTTTTTGGATTTATTTAAGATTCTATACATGTTTGCCCTGTAGAGCTGTTCTGTATCGATGATTAGGTCATAAGCATATGGGATCATTAAGCCTTTATTTTATAGAATTTGCATCCTGTTAATCGCACAGGACTTAAGTACCTGAAATGCGAGAGAGCAGAGAGCACGATACACAGTAATTTTAGTTTTTTATTCACATAGTCTATTATTCCAAACGTGACATTTTATTACTTAAAAGCGCCTTCAATGAAAACTGTAAAGGCAGCCCCCTTAAAATGATTCTATGACATTAATTTTACATTTTTAGTTATTTCTGCTCGTCCTATAGTTTCTGGGATTTTTACACGCTCATTTTTATAATTTGCTAGATGAAGAATAAATAATGTTAACTTCATTTTAATAAACATCTCAAAAAAAATTATTCTATGTGTGAGCTTTGAAGCAATAAATAACTAAATAAACATAAATACATAACAAATCAGCAACAAAAAGTAAACCAGGTGTGTTCAAAAAGTAAGGTAACTTTTGTAATTGGGCAGGCTACGTACATTCGATCTTTGAAATTTTTTTGTTATGTTGGTACACATGTCCCTTTTTGTTTTAGAGACAGGAGCGTTAGACGTGTTTTGTGTGTTCGGCGATTTAACAGCGATGCTCCTTCGACCGTCCTTTTGTTGAAAACTAAACAGTTTCGGAACAAATCTTGCTGCTTAATGCACCAAACTTCAGAAAAAATTGCATGTCGACGTCTTCAGCCACTTCTCTAATAGATATGAAATATCAAGGTTTTGCTTATTGTTTTCATTGATTATCGTGGCATAGTAGATCAAGAGTTCTTACCACAAGGTGGTATAGTCAATAAAGCAATAAGAAGAAAACATTCGGAATTGGGGGAAAACAATTCATTGATTTTGCATCACTCACCGCTGCCTGTGTCTAACTTTTTGGCGAAAAACAAAACCAGAAACATCGCCTCGGCCATCATATTTACCGGATATGGCCTCCTGCGACTTTTTCCTGTTCTCAAAACTCAAAGAAGGAGGTTTGGAACGAGTGAAGAGATAAAGAAAAAATCACTGGAAGAACTCAATGCTATACCAGAAAGTGCTTACCAAAACATTAATTTTGATGAATAAATAAATACCTCTTGTTAAAGCTTGAAAGTCACCTTACGTTTTGAACACACCCCATATAAAAGCAAATAACAAAAAAAAGGTGGAGAATGTCAAAAATAAAAAGAGATTTAATTTAAAGTAATATTTAGGTTAAACTTTGTATTTTACATAAATTATGTAGAAATTTCTGTAAACATTTATTAGCATGAGTTCCTCTCTGCAATATGTGGCTGCTTATTAAATGTGATCCAAAACAACTTACCGGTTTTAGGAAAAATCTTCATTTGTTTATGTTTGTAGATATATTTTGAATTTGATGTGCTATGTTATCGTTGTCTACAGAATAAACATATATTATTATTATATTATTATGTAAAGCGTCAAAAAAATAATACAACTTCTAGATATTTAACAGAGACGATTTCTATAAACCGCCCTGTATTTCCGAAGCTGTCCCTACGAACTAGTTGGAGCCTGGTAACTTTATTGCTCAATTACATCCTACGAAAAAACAATATCCGATGAAAGTACAACGCGTATTTCCATATCGCATTCCTTGCGTCAAAGTTCACGCCAAATGTAAAAGTCCATCGAATAGCAACTGCAAATTGTATGTGGCTACAAAATTACACAGCATTTTTTTTATCTATTTCTGTTGTCGTTTGTTAGAGACACCGTGTATGTAGGTAAAAATGAAACTGCCGTTTTATTTTTAGGTTTCGATTTATAACGCAAGCGAAATTGCAAACATTCATCTATTTTTAGGAAGAGAATAATGTTTTCCGCGTATATTCGCAGCGAGTTATGGCTGCGAAGATAGGAAACAATAGGTACATTTATATAATATAATGTATAATAAATGCAACATTGCAAAGAAATCGTGAAGATTAAACTAATTGAAAATTCTTAATGCATTTTGTAATTTGCTGCTCTTAATTGAGAAATCTAAGGGTTAACAAGTTTTTTCCGCACCGCCAGCGTCAAATTAAATAAATAAAATAACAGGATAAACCTTACAACTTTTCCAATCACTTAACGCGCGATAAGGTCCGTATTAAGTGTGTCATCACAATTTACAGTAAATGCATTGTAAACGATTTAATATAGATTAATTAATTAAGATTCTTCCTCATGTGAGGAGCTGTCTTCTATTATTGATATTTGACATTTGTTCTTCTTTTTTTCTTCTGTAGTAAATATCGTTATTATTGTTGTAGAAACGCACTTATATTGGATACTTCTTATTCGGACAGTACTTCCTCTAGTCATAACATTATTGGTAAGATAAACTTTCGTGCAGATATACTCAAACTATATAGCTATTAGATAATATAGGAGAGGTTATGATTTTCCGCGCATGCTTCTACATTTCACCCACTAACCTGCACTTTGCTTCATTTTCTTTGCAAATAGCTAAAACAATAACTCTTTTTCCCAGAACATTTAACGCGACCTAGGCATATTTTGGGAAAATACTACAGTAAAAATGCCGTATTTAAGCTTATTGACAATTTGTCAGCGGCCACGTTGGTTGTTGAATGGCGCAAGGTCATTGGGTATCGGCATAGGCAAGGTCTCTATATGTGTAGTAGCTATATGAGAAATACATATTATCATAAAATCAAAGTATGTAGTTTTAAGGTATATTACCATACTGGTAAAATATTCACTCGCCCCTAAAATAACACTTACACACAATTGTTACTATCGTGCTTACCAAAGTGACATTTTCCGAACATATTTTATAAATACAAAATATGCTAGCCTACAAGCCTACTATTCCAAAAATATATATTTGTTGACTTCTTTCTAATTTTCTTTCTATATCTCTCAAACCAATATATCTTGTTTCCTCCAAAATGAACGGTGTTATTTTTCTTTTGTCAAATTTTTGATACTACTGTTTTTCGCCAAAACACAATTTCATCGATTTCATGTGAACTTCACATCTGTTTAGGTTTTCCATAGCAATTTTTGCCTTATTATAGGAACATAGTCCATGCTTCATCCAAAATCTGTCTGTATATAGGGTAGGTATTTGTTTAAAATAAAAAGAGCGACCTTTTCTTCAACATAATGAATTTCCTTTGGTAATCTCCGCTTAACATCGTTCTTACTGTTGACGCTACAGATCAACAGCACATACTAAAATTAATTCTTTATTTATCTTATTTTGTATGATTTTATGGGTTAATTTTCTGCCTACGTCTTAAATTCGGTCGAACCGAACGGAATGCCCAGTTTTATTACTCCGTGCCGTTTACGAACAGACTTTAAGGCACAGTGACGGCACGTCGGGGCAGGCGACTCGTCCTTACCCGAAGTGCGAGTCACAAAAACGTCACTTACGCGTCGATATTTTCGAAAACAGTCCATGGCGATCGACGGGCCCAAATTTGCGTATTGTTTATGGAATAAACGGTTAATTTAAATTCGTGTTCGCGCGATTACGAGCCTGACGGGGGACTGAGTTCCGTGTTCGTGCGGTCGCGCTATCTCTCCCAACTGTTTATCTGATGTTTGTTTGGATTGGGATCGCAGCCCGCTGGAAAACCGCGTACATTATTCAAGTTTGACGCTCAGTCTTTACCGGGTGGCTTTAAAAAATATTTCGGCACTAGACCGAATATAGTAATAGTAATAGGGGCAGTAGAAATTTATTTAAATACTTGACGAGTATAAAGTAATAAATAATCAAGAGAGCAGAAAAAAATCTCAAAATCAGACAAATACAACCAGTATTCTTCAAGCTTTCACGGAAGGTATTAAGGTGTCTTCAGGAAAAGAGAGTAATAATCGTCCTTGGCCCTTATTCTTGAGCACGATAAAATAGAAAACCCAAGAGAAACTAAGCGAGTTTGTATTGGGAGTGCGCAATTCCTATTCTTGAATATGATTAGATTGAAAACCAGTAAAATTTTATTCCCTGAAAGTTTTCTAAGTTAAGGAAGAAAGGAACCAAAGATTTGGCAATTTATTCTAACAGCTTTATTATTATCGTTACAGAATATCTTGCGTAATATTGACGACGCTGAAGAATGTTTTAACGTCAACAATAATATTTTCATCACCACTAATAGCAACAGGTGATATTATATCCATAATTGACGATAATGGAGGCCCATCACCTTGTGTCGTGTGGAATGTTCTTGTTTTCTGCTGGCTGGGCCTTTGTATTTATTTCCTAATCCATCCAAGTCTGTTGGTAAAAAAATTCAACATATTGAAAAAGTTCTAAAAGAAGTGTTCCAAGTGTTGGTCAACTTTACCTAATGGGCCGTCATTGTCTTCTCAGTATAAGTCGCCGCGCACGGATGAGATCCATCATAACTTCTTTTTGTGCGGCCGCAGTGGAAAGACGTGTTCGTCCTTTTTTCTTTATCATATCAATATTTATAATAAGCTCACAGTTAACCACAAACTTAAAGAAACTACTTAATCATTTAGATGTACTTTACAATTTAAAAAATACAATTTATATACGTCACAAAGGCAAAACGTGAAGACACAAACGTCAAAAACGTGGATAGATTGACAGACAGATTCTCCGCTTTTTCGTCACTTTCTTGTGGTTCTAGAATGCGGTTTCCTGCCGTTAATTATAACCTCAACAGGAGATTACAGTTCGTCAGATGACGAAGAATGTTATGATTTTTAAATATTATAACTTCTGTATAATATATCGTTGGCGCTGGTCAATGGATAACAA